TTTTATTCATCAGTCAATCTTGTCTCCTCTTTTTTCACATCCCATATATTGATCAAATAGATTTGTTAGCATGCCTCTGCAGCTTTAAAAAAGTTTTTGTTATTTGTCAGGTTTATTTGATTACTGTATTAGTTTGTGTGTTATCTTAATTGTTATTTCAATAGAAAATAAATGCCCTTTGATAGTCCCACAAGATTCTTGTTAAATATAATCCATATAACAAGTTAGTGGATGGAGTGAATGTGGTAAGAAAATAAACACATTAAACATATTTTAAAAGGTGGTATTAATCTGCAATTGTATTTTACTTGATCCAAAAGACAGGAATAGAAATAAGTACAGTGTGAAACAATTTTGATAAACATCAGTGCCGTATCATTGCATATTATGCTATGTATAAAATACTTTAAGAAAAAGATGTGCGATATAAAATAAACTGAGGTCATATCTGGAAGAGTGGGTTTTGTGGTTAAGTGTGAAATGGAACGATATTATATATGGCTTTAGACACTAAAAATTAGGCTAGAGGGGCTGCAAGCAAAGACAGGTGGAAACGTTGTCTTACATGGGGCAAATTTTTGATAGGGAGATAGAACACAGCTTTTAGGAAGGTATTTATTGGAGCAAAAGATAAACATCTAAGCAAGCAGTTTCTCCCTCTGTAAAGATATGATACACTGTACAATAAATAAAATTTTAGCTAGATTAAAAAATTGAAACAGCACCTTGGGCACGTTAGTCAGTCAGTTTTGGTAATGACTTCATGAAAGCATGATTTTTTGCCTCAGTCTTCTCAAAGGTGAAGGTGATACAACCAGTTTTTCCATGTGTGTCTTAGAAACTTGCCTCTGATATTTCCATTATCAGCAAGACTACATAACCCTGGCTCCTCACGTAACATGGAATCTGGCATCTCCCCAGCTGGTACCTGAGCTTACGTAGTGTCAGAAATAAGCACTGTGGGAAAAAATCAACAATGTCTTTACCATCCAATTTTTAAAAAGATACAAGAAGTCCATGTGTCTTAAGACATAGAAGAATTGATTCAATACAAATTTTAGGAAGCAAAAATGTGTTTTATCTCTTAAGTACATTGACCAACCCCATAGCTTTCTGAAACAGAAACGTGAAATTACCAAAGTCTTCCAAATTTCTTGTGAAAAGCTAAGTTCTTTCATTTCTTTGGCCAGGATTAGTTTTTGTATTATCTAACTTTAGTCACCTAGAAATTTGGTTTCTAGTCTGGGTAATTTATATTTTATCCGTAGCCAGCTACGGAGGGATGGGGTGAGAACAGGGACAAAAAACCTTCCAAAGAGCGATTTTTTTCACTGGCTTAAACTCTTCTGTCAACATGGCATGACTTGGCAGCAGGATGGGCTTTGTCTCTTCCATTGAGTATTGTAGGAGTTTAGGCCAGACTGAACACCTATCATACCAGCTACAGCTGGCATGATGAACACAACCCTAAGGGGAAGCTATCTCATTATAGCAGGAGCATTTTAAATGCCTATACCTAGCTGTGGACACTTGAAATGTCCAACTCCTAGATTATTCTTTTTCACCTGGAACCTCTTTAACAGTATTTCATACCAAACAACCATGCTACAGCTTCAGGTGCCCTAAAATAAAGCTCAAATTTGCAATTGTCCTAGAGCGGTTAGCAACGCTCCTGCGATTCAGAAGCACATGGCGCAATGATAGTTTCAAGCTAAACTATTATGACCAGCCAGTATGGAATATAAACAGGAACAGATGAGAAGAATACAGCCTCAACATTTGAGACAACAAAGGAAGAGTGAAATGATTGCTACATAAAAGACATTTCAAAGACCTCCCAGAAAAGCAGGCATAAAAATCCCCAATAAAAAGGCTCAGCAAGAAAACTGTCACACCCCCTAATCCTCAGCAGACTTTAACAAGATGTTCACATGAGCCAGAGATTGTCGTCTTCCCCAGAAGACAAAAGGCACAGAAAACAATACTGTCTAGCATAGGATTAGGAGGCAAGAGATAGATAAAAAGGATTCCTTAACCTTACAATTAGAAAACCCTAGTCTCCAGCCAAAAGAATAATCAGAAGCAGACTGCAAACCTGTGTCACAATAATTGCTGCATCTTTCTTTACTCTTTGAAAACTGATATATTTTCTGAAGATTTTTTTAAAATTTATCACCACCCCAAGAAAGGTTTGATGGCCACTTAACTACAAGACAACTGCTGCTGCCGAAACACAATAGCCTTATTTCCCATTCTTCGTATTTCCACCACCTCCACGTAAAAAATGAATTACCAATGCTCGTACCAACCTCCCAGTAAATTGTACAACAAAAGCAAAACTTTATGTAATGCACTACTCTAACAAATTATAAGCTTACTGTGCCCTAAACCAGACACATACACAGATTCTTCATGCCAAACCTGGCATAAGCGTGTGCTCTGATTAAAAAGGAAAAAACATAGTTGATATAACAAGCATCTTTGGCTTTATTTGGTATTACTAATGCCTTTAAACAGAAGGCAGGGTACTGGCAAGAGTAGAAAACAGACTTGAAGGGCAAGGAAACCTACAAACTAGAAAAAACTAGTGTCCAAAGTTTGACCCTCCTGCTGTAGCTAACTAGTGACCATAAGCCAATAGCTGTAGAAGTTTGCTACATAAAAATTAAAGACTCTTTCTGAAGCTGAACAAGACATCCACAAGACTTTGATAACTGCATTTACAGAGCATATATTAACTTACAGACATGACTTCAGCACCCAAACAATCATATATGATTAGGACCTATATATGTCCCCACTTTATAGGGGATTGAGGCACACAAGAATTAGATGGTTAGTGCAAGCATGCATTGAGGGACAATCAGGATTTAAGCAGTCACCACCTCCAGTGGGCACTTGATGTTTCTAGCCTTTCCCACTCTTCCCGGTACTATCAGGAGAAGAAGAGTCAAACAAATTCTTTTTTCCTTCAGGTGCAGCACACTTGCAAACTATCACTCCATGCTCTTGTGATACTCTGTCTATTGGACCTTAAATTTCCTGCCTTAAGCTAACATACAGTGGTCTTGTTCTGTGCCAGCTAGACACTACCTCAGAGCTGCCTCATTCTGTGGCAGATGAAATAATCCCTCTTTAAGTAAACTACTTGAAACCACTTAGAGGTTGACAGAGATGCAACCTTAACCATTGTCATTTGTTATGGAAAGGCGTAAACAAATCACATCTCCCAGAAGAATCATGGCTTGAAATAAACTCACAGAAAAAGGCATACATTTCTGTTCTCTTTTTAGTAAAGCTCAAAGAGCATAAAGCTTTGCTTACATATACTTGTAGAAGAAAAGGGTGAATAGTTATCTACAGATTTCTAAGTAAACTTTCTGGACCTCGGTCCAGATGAGAACAAGTAATTCACCATGTATGTCCTCAAAGCATGTAGCCAGCAGCGTACCAGGCAGAGCAATACAAGATGTGAATCACTGCAGGGTAGGGGTGGAAGAGTAGTGTGGTCTGCATGGTGGCATAGTCAAATCAATCTCTTCTCAGCCATACAGTGCCCCAGGGACTCCAGGTCTTGCTTGTGGTGTGGCACTGGAGACTCACAAGCCTTCACCTACAAGCACGCTTGTCCCCATGC